TTTCTGTTTTTATTAGTTCTTTAATTAACAATTTCAGGTTTTGCGTTTGTTTTTTTTTTTTTTTTTTGGTTTTTTATTTTTTATTTTCTTTTGTATTGATTTCTGTGTATTTTTTTACAGCATATATTTGTTTTTAGATTTTAATAAATTCCATATTTTATTTTGTGTATAAAAATGGTTGCTGCAGTATTTTTTTTTTTTATTATTTTTTGTTTGTTTTGTTTTTAAGATTATTATTTAATTTCATTTTTTTAGTTGAAAACCCAGATAATTTTGGTCTCTTACCAGTCAGTTTTTGTCTCAAGTTTTTGGTATGTGTGTGTGAATAGATTTGTGTGTGTGTATGTGTGTGTACAGTTGTTGCTCAATATCAATGTTTGTTGCACGCTCTATAAATATATATATATGTATGTCGATATATATATATCTATGTACATATGTATATATATATTCGTCATTTTGGCAAAAAATTGTTTTGTGTGTGTATTGTTTAGTTAATTTTTTTTTGTATTTTTCTCTTAATTTTTTTTTTCTTTCAATTTATTTTAGTTAAGTACTGCTTTCAGCTGCCTTTTTTTACATTTTCTGTTTACTATTTTCTTAGCTTTTTCATTCTTATTTTGTTTTTAGCTGTTTTATTTGCTGCGGCTTTGCTTCACTTAGCATTTGCAAAATTCATTGTTTCAAGTCCATCTGAAAGAAGTATATAAATATGTTAGTTGATTTGAAATGTTGAATGATTGGACAAGTAGAAATAATAGAATAACTGTTAGTTGAAATCAAATGATTGGAAGATTACAAGCAAATTATTATATAGAAGCAATCCAATGTCATTGGTGCTTAATTGAATTATACTGTTCAATTTGACCGTCCTTGGTATTAGTGCAAGGCTTGGAGCATTTACATTTGCATGTAAATACTGAGTAATAGTTGCAAGCACTTCTATTTATATTCCGTCGCCCACGATTGAGTGTCGCTTAACAGTGGTCGTCACCAGAAGAGCAAGAGAGCGAAGGCTAGCTGTTTAACCGCGAGCTGCTAAGAGACTTAGCATTGATCGCTTAACAGTGGCTGTTAAATAACATAGTCTCGTACCTAGTGAGTGAGAGTGAGACGGCTACTGAGGCTCTGTATGAATTCGTCAATGAAGAGAACGTAACGATTGAGCAATGCCACTAAGCATATAAAAGCAATGCTGACTTTAACAGTGCAATTGAGCGTTGCCACTAAGCATATAAAAGCAATAGTGTCAATGCTGACTTTAACAGTGCAATGTAAAAGAAACAGTCTAACCTTTCGCCACTAATGTGAAATTATTGAATATTAATAATAATGATAGGTCATTGAATTCATATATTGTTGGTTTATACAAATAAATGGTATTACATATTGTTAAAATCATGATTGATGATTAATTAATTTTCATCTTACCCTAATAAAAAGTTGATCCATGTTGTTGCTGTGGTTCGTGTTACTGTCGCTGTTGCTGCTGCTCTTGGTGCTGCTAGGCTTTTCGTTTCTGTTGCTGCCACAAGAACAACTTCTCGACGAGCTCGACTTTGGAATAGTTACTTGTATCATGAGAACAGGGAATGTTCTCATTGCTATTGTTGTTGCTGTTGCTGTTATTGTTGTTGTTGTTGTTGCTGTTATTGTTGCTGGCATTGGTGCTGTTGCTGCTATAGCGATAGCAATAGGTGCCATTGCGCCAGCTAGCAAAGGTGTAGGGAATCGTATTGCGATTTGCATTGCGATCATTAGCTAATTGTGGTCGAAAATTGTTGTTGGGATTGTTTGGTGATGTTGTTATTGTTGCTGTAGCTGGTGCTGTGGTAGTTGCATTATATTGATGATGCTGATGGAGGTGATGATGTTGTTGTTGTTGCTGTTGCTGTTGATGTTGCTGATATAGCTGATGTTGTTGCTGCTGTTGCTGCTGCTGGTGATGTTGGTGTTGCTGCAGTAGTTGTTGTTGCTGCTGCTGCTGTTGTTGTTGTTGTTGTTGCAGAAGCTGTATCTGTATTTGTTGTTGTTGTATTTGTTGTTGTTGTTGCTGCTGCTGCTGTTGTTGTTGTTGTTGCTGTTGCTGTTGATGTAAGTTACGCTTAAGGAACTCCGATTGTTAATAAGGTCGACTGGCATCCTTTGGCCGCTTCAATTGAACTTTCAGTCTTTTCATGCCAATCTGGAAGCCATTCATGGCCTGAATGGCCGCTTGAGCGCTGGTGGGATTATCAAATGAAACAAAACCTACAAAATTGTCAAAAGTTGAATATTAGAAATCAATGTACGACAATTGCTACAGCTTCAAGTTTTCGAGATTTACCGAAACATTTGCTTTGATTTGTTGCACGATCGATGAAGACCTTAGAGCTGATCACATTGCCAAACGGCAGGAACATTTGCATTAACTCAGCATCACCAAATTCTTGGGGCAAATGATAGATGAATAGATTGCAGCCCTCCGGGCCGGATATAGAACATCCTGGGAACATCAGAAAATCTTAAAAGAAGACATCACAAGAAAAGAAACAAAGTAGAGAAAACAAATTAAACGATGAGCTAAATCATAAATTCGAACTTTATGAGTTTGTCTGCTGTATAGAATTTATTCATGGCTGTTCTTGAGTTTCTCTTCAAATATATATAGATTCAGTTATTTGTTTGCTATGTGTGTTTCGTGTTTTGTGGCTGATTTTGTAGACGATTCAACTAAAGCTAATGCGTTGCATAAAACTCGAAAACTAAATGACAAAACAATGATGTAGAAAATATATTCGATATATATATATATATTTGGGGAGGGGGAACAGAAAAACAAAACAAACAAACAGTAACAAAATACGCTTGCATAGGCTAAAGTATTTATGTATATATATATAGTATATAAGACATAGTCGTATATGCTAGGAATGCTTAATGAGCTACCAGTTCTCTAATGCTATATACTTAAGTTATAAGCTTATGATAAATCGTCCCGAATTTCGCAAATCCTGGTACAAGGATCGTATGTTTTATGAGTTCAGCAAAGCTGAGTTTCATGTGTGTCTATATGTGCATGTGTGTGTGTGTGTGTGTGTGTGGCATGCAGGTTAAGTACTAAGTAAGTTTTTTGAAAAATACAATTAACAATTAGCTACGCGCAACAAATATTATATAGGGAAAAAAAGATGATAAACACGTTACGAACAAGTTGGGCTTAGGGTTAGACACAGATAATACATATACACACGCACACACACATACAGATAGAGAGAGAGAGAGGGATAGACGATGTATATAGGCATTCTCTATGCGCCTTTTAAATGGCTGTGCTTTTATCTTGTCTCGACAACGTTTACATAGTTTTCTCTTGGGGGCGAAACAAAGAAAATAAATATATATATGTATATAAAACAAAGCGAACATAAAATTTTATGATTTTTCATGTGCCTTGGCAAGCCTTTCCGGCAAATATCTTTGCTTTTTATGTGATTTTAAGCAGTTTATATGCAATTTTTACGATCGCCCATAAAATGCCTTTAAATGCAGCCATTAAAAACGATTTACGCCCTTCGCGAGCCTTTCCAAAAGGGTTTTTGAATACACAAGTTGATACAAAGAACGAAAAAAGAATCTATGTAATTAATTTCGTTGGGCTTTTCAGTTCAATTTCTATGTGGATGCAAGCGTTTGTGTGTGTGTATATATATATGTCTGAATTAGTATGTTTATTTATATATATATATATAGCTATATATGTAAGTCAAAACATTCACTTATAGAATTGAGCTGTTCGTCATATCACTCGTGAACAAAACTCAAATACAATATTGATTTACAGTAAGGAAACTAAGGAAAAGTTGTTGGAAGGAAACGAAAGAGAGAGAGAGAGAGAGACAGAGAGAGAGAGAGAGAGAACAACCGACAAAATAATAATGAAAAGCTTACCTTCACGCTGAGTGGGTGCAACCGCCGCTAGGGGAGGTGGTAAAGCTTGTGGAAACTGTCCATAGACGGCGGGAAAGGCTGCGTTATATATAAATAATTTTTGTTTTTGGTTTTTACACAAAATCCGAAACATTTATAAAGACAACACAACAATTAAGATACGTATATATGTATATATATGATTTTTGTTTTATGTTAAAGTAAGTTCTCTTGTAGGATTTTTCAGTTTAACTAAATTTATATGAACGAAACAAAGACAAATCATAATCATAGATGATTGATAAACTACGACCAGATCAGATCCGTAGAATACTTAGTTATATATTTCAGTCAGAAACAACATCGGAAAGTTAAGAGACACCAGCTAAAGTGGGCAACTGGATTTCTAGAGTGAAGTCCATTCGACTTTCAAAGACAGTAACAAAATAAGGTATACAAGATAAACCAATTTCAGATCGTGTTTTCGCAAAGAAATTGTAAACGTCAAACATTGAAACAACAAATTTTGGGTTCGAATATATTCAAAATATAATAATTAAAAACAATGAGAACAAGTTTTCAACATAAAAGCCAAAACAAGGAAATGCAGATTTCAATTCAAGTATAGCTCACTTGGTTGAGTCAGTCTTTGATTGTGAGAAGCACAGAGAAGAGCGCTGCGGCTAGACTTGACTTGACTTCTGCATTTCTTTTGTACACAAATGAAATATTTATGTATATATAGAAGTTAGAGTTATATATAACACTTTACTAACAATATATATATATATTTATGGCATGACACAACAATTATTAATTATTTCAATAAAAACAATTATGAATGATTGAACTGTTTATTCTGTCTGTTGTTGTGGTTGAATTACATTTGATTTTCAGTATTATTTTTCACTTTTTAAGACAATGATGTTATGAGAGAAACTGACATGGTAATGCATGAGAGACACTGAGAGAGAGAGAGAGAGAGAGAGAGAGAGAAAGGGAATGGGAGGTAGGTTCAGGTGGGAGTGTGTGGTCCTATGATGATTGATGAATTGACATTTTGTGCCTATGGGACTTGTTCTAAACTATTATTATTAATTTCTCTTTGAGCACAATCAGATACGTAGTTCCCTTAGCCTAATGCATAAGTAATATATATATAAAGATAGAAAGAGAGAGAGCGAGAGAGCGAGAGAGAGTATGTCTAAGGCTAGCCAGAGCTTGGGCACTTACCAACTCCTGGAAATGGTGGCAAACCAGGGAAGGCATGTTGCAGTGCAGCAGCATCGCCATTTGGCAAACCCTGTGGCGGTATGGTCAGATGCAGCGGATCTGGAGCGAGTGTGAGATCTTCATATGAATATCAATAAATAGTGATCGTTAGCTGGCTGCCAATATACCCTGTAATGCGATGTGAATACTTACGTGGAAATGCTGTTTGTGGAATGCCATTCGTGAAGACACCGTCGGCCACCGAGGCAGCTGCTGCAGCGGCGGCAGCGCCTCCTGGCTGCCCATTGGGCGTATTGGCGCCCATATTAAAGTTGGGCATCGTCGGCGAGGGCAGCGACGGCGGCTGGCCGGTGCCATTGAGGCCATGAGGTATTTGCGTTGCCAGGGCGGCCATTGGGTTCATGTAGGCAGCCGCCGAGCCCGGCGCTGTGGCCGCAGCGGCCATCAGAGCCGCCTGCTGTTGTTGCTAATGAGGCACAAAGGATTGCAATCAAGCTGACTGAAGTGACTGTGGGGCCGTGAGGCCGTGAGGCCGTGTGTGGGCTACTTACCTGCGCGTAGGCGCCGTACGGTCCAAATTGATTAAAGACAAACGGATTCAATAGGTTCATATGACCGGCCATTTGCTGCATGCGTCTTATTTGTCGCTCCTTCTCCGTGTCGGCGTATTTGACAACCAGGCTGGAGGATGCACCCTGCAAAGGAAATAATTGGATTCACATCGTGAGCTCACTGAGTGGCATTGCATATTTATTGGCGGCTCTTCCGTTTCTCATTTCTCGTTTTACGTTTCACGTTTCCCGATTCCCAGTTCCCCGGCTTCCCGGCTCCCCGGCTTCCCGGTTCCGTAGCCTGGCACCATTCAATGGCAAATCCTATTACAGGCCATTATTTTGTGCCTTGTCACTCGACAGCGCTGGCAACGTTGCCCTATTTTTACCTGTGTGACGGCGCCGTTCCCCGCCACACCTCGTCTCAGTCGACCGCCCGCCCATCCGCCGCCGTCTGTGCACTTTGGCGCTTGGCTTTTGTTATGCGAAGCGGACTGCTCATTATTATCATATTACATTTTATATGCCTTTGTGATCCACAGCAACAGCAACAATGATGATAAAAAGCAAAAATACTCGTAAATAACAAAATAATTGGCAACGCACTTCAATTTGCATTTCCATTGAAATCGGCTTACAAGCTGCGCCCTCTTTATAATATATATATAATATAAGTACCTCCTACCTGGCTACTCCTATATATATATATATATATGTATATGCATATATATGAATTTATATATACGGCTGTCTGTGCCTCGCGCCCTATCCACAGTCAAGTACATTGAATCACGATGTTATCTATTGTCGGCTGTCATTGATTTTGTAACATTGAGCAACAAAGATGCTGTCTACCTACCTCCCTCCCCCCCTTCTCTCTCACTCTGTCTTGGTTTCTCTATCTCTGTCTGCCTCGCTTTGTTGCTTTCTTTGATGTCAATTAATTAGCATAATAATGGACGCTTCACATTTCGCACTTCTGCCTCGACTCCCACACCGCTCCGAGCTGCCGTCGTATGACAATTGAAGCGACAACATTTCATACGCCTTGGCATTTTGTTTTGTTATAATTAAGACGTTTTGCAGATGAGTTGACTGTTTTTGTAATACAATACCCGAAACAGGGAGGCTGGCCGAGCCAAGCCGAGCCGAAGCTTGGGAGTGGGTAGCTT